TGAACACACACACACACACACACACACACACACACACACACCATCAGCACCTGTGGAGCTCGGCTTCCTCGCCGCCAAATTAGGTACTTTCTTCACCGACCTAGCATTATTTTCATCAAGCTTTGGGAACCCCTTCGTGAACATGTCCAAACTCCAGCTTGACCCTGTTCTTTGTGATCTGAGTCACCACCCCCAATTTCCAGCCTAGTTTTGGATACTATCTATTTATAGCTTGGTCAGAACTGTACTTACTGTATGCAGGATTGCACTAGGGTTCGGTTTTTTTTGGGGGGGGGGGGCAAACAAACTCTTCAGTGTATTTGTTTACTGCTACATAGCTAATTGTGTTTTTGTGCCTTGTTCTAGGGTTTTTTTTTTGTTTCTTTTTGTAATGCATTTGAAAATGTATAAATAAAACATTAAAAAAATTATAAAAATAAAACACTTCATACTGACACTATCTGATGACATTCAAAACACAATGATGTGCGTTATTTATTAACAGTGTCAGTGAATGTGGTTTTCACAAAATGGGCAAATATCTGCCAGTTAACTGTGCCAATAACTGCTCTGTCCAGTGTTATTTTAGTTAAGCCCCGTTCACACCAAAGATAAAGAAAACGATAAAGATATAGTTCTAAAAATCGCTCTCAGTATTAAAGAATAGCAGAGTCCACACCACAGCTATAACGATAAAGGCACAGAGAAACGATATCGTTGGAATCACTTCCAAAATGATTTTTTCCAGCTGATGAACGATAAAATCCTTGACACACAATGAGAATCATTCCTGCTGTCACGAGCTGGAGAATTTAAAGCGGCAGACGCGTGTGCGCTGAGAAATAAACAGACGATATCGTTCGCTGGTGTGGACGCTAATATCGTTATCTTTATAGTTATCGTTCGTGGTGTGAATGGGGCTTAATACTTGCATAACATTATAGAATTCCACAGTAATTAAAAAAAAATATTTTTTTTATTTTTTGTATTTTTAATTTCAAAGTTTAATCATAAAACGGATAGCTCCAGTTCTTGATTCTGATTGGTTGAGCCGAATTTACATTTAATGTACTTTTGTGTTTTTAATATTTTAATAGCTTATAACTTTTCTATTTAAGTTTTTGTTTTAGTAATTTCAGTGCTTCAACTCTTCATTTCTTTTTTTAGTTAGTTGACACGGCAACATTTTCATTTAAGGTTTTAAGTTTAAGTTAATTATCTAATATGTACAGCATATTTTAATTTATTTCATCTTTATTTCCGTCACAGAAACAATTTCTACACTGATTAATTAAAAACAGTGATAATATCATTTTAAATATTTTTTTTTAATATTTTGCCTTTTTGTATATTTCATCTTTTTTTTTTTTTTTATCAATTTCTTGTATTAGTAAACTAAATATAACAAAATAATAAAAAATATCAAATGAAAATGAGAAATGTTGCCTTGGCAACTAGCTGAAATAAAGTTAGTTTAATTATTTATTCTTCCTTATTTTATTTCAATTAACATTTAGGCTTTTTTTGTTATGAACTAAAACTGTTTTTTATAGTTTTATTTTTAATTAACAATAATAAGCCTGGTTTTGCCTTTCAATTAAAATAGCTGCTGCAGAAATGGAAGTCTTAGCTAGTTTTTAAAGAATATTTTGAATTAGTTTTTATATTTCCCAATTTAATTTATTTTAGTTAATATTTCAGTAATTTATTATCTTTAAAAAAAACAACAGATTTGAGCACATTTTACAAGACACTATTTCTAATTCAAAATTTCATGTGCTACTTGCTGTTTCTTTTTAACTGTATAATTTACTATAAATTTTTGAGTGAAACTTGTTTCCACACCATTTTTTTTGTATGACAGTTTGTATTTCGTGTATACAGTAGTAGTTGACTGCATGACTACTGACTCAAATATTTTGAATTAATTTTTATATTTCCCAATTTAATTTATTTTAGTTAAATTTTTAGTTAATATTTCAGTAATTTATTATCTTAAAAAAAAAACATATTATTTGAGCACATTTTACAAGACACTATTTCTAATTCAAAATTTCATGTGCTACTTGCTGTTTCTTTTTAACTGTATAATTTACTATAAATTTTTAAGTGAAAC